TATATATATTATATTTAATGGTTATCTTAATTTGTTGTACATTATAATATCTATAATAATAGTCATATTTTCGAAAAAAATGTGATATGTGATAGTTTACGTCTAATGTATATTATAATACTATATATATATATATATAAATATAATAATAATATAAAAATTATTTATTTTTTATTTTATTAAAAAAAGATTAAAATTTTTAAATTACCAGAAGTGTTAAAAAAAAAGTAGACATTTTATTGATTAGATTATAAAAGATAATTTGGTAGCAAAATCTCTTCATAATGTTTAGTTGTTCAATTTCTAGAGTAATTTTAAATGTTGCAACACTGAATTTTTTTATGTTTACGGTATCAAATTTGATCTTTGTTCATCAGAGTAGGATATAAGTAACATGATCGTTTTAAAGGAAAAACTAAAAATATCAAAATTTACTTTCATAATAATTGTAATTTTTATCAAGGAGTCAAGTGGAATTTTTTCAAAATAAATTCACTGATAGCTTTAACTAAAAATGTTTTTGAATCTTTTGACTTACTTTTATGCAAAATTGGTTCAGTAAGAGCAGAATATTAATATAGACAGATACAAAAAATAAAACACGGCATGGTAAACCCAATACCTTTTTAGCTTCACTTATAAGCTAATATTGACTATTGTATTTTACATAATTATTTCTAACAAGATTATTAGAAACCAAGGTTGGGTTATATGTTACATTTTAAACTGTTTACTTATGTTTTAAACAGATTTTTTAATTATCAATGTATTTATTGTTCATATATCTTAGTTTAGCATTTTGAATTTATTAATATTTGAAAACTTGTAACAAATAATTTATATATTTTTAGACATAAAGGTCTTCAAGAATGTACTGCAAATCCTGAATGTGGATGGTGCTCATCTGATGATACATGTTATGGTCGTCATGGTGGTATAAATTGTACAACAAATTTACAAACTACTCGATGTCCTGGTATATGTCAATCATTGACTGATTGTCATTCATGCCTAGTTCATGGAGAAAGTTCTGCTTACAATAATAATCAATCGTCTATTTCTATAGCTCATGTAATGCAATTAGGGCGCTGTGTTTGGTGTATACAAGATGGGCGCTGTCACCATAAGAATGGTAAATAGATTAAAAAAATCAAAGCGTATTTTAAAAATCATTATCAATGAAGTAGTTAAAATTTTATTATCTGAGAGAGATACGAAAGAAAATTTAATCTACCCCTCTACTAATGGAAAAATATTACTATTATACCTCCTTTTAAGTATATCTTTGAGTACTGCTTTTAAATAATACATTTCATTTATTAGCTTTAATGTGCATCTTAAAAGCTATTAGTTTAAATTGTCAGTAGTTTTATTTTACAGTTGTCATAAAACAATCAATATTGATATTTTTAGTTTTTAAGTATATTAATATAATATAATAATAATATTTTTAACAATTTATTGCCAACTGTTTATTGATAATACTTCCAAAATTTACATTGCTTTTCAATATTTAAATGTACAAAATTAGCCTCTCCCTCACCTCTAATAACAGTTTCAATTTTTTTTGCTGACAATATTGTCCTTTTCTTTCTCAAATATCCATTCACAATGCCCTTTACTCACCATCCTCTCTAACTCTTCAAATGCATTATTTTAAGACTGCCCCATTGAATAGCCTGTTAATAATAATTTTCATTAGAAAACGCTTACCGTCCGTTTACCCCATAATCACTCTTGATGGGCTAACTATTCCCCCCTCTGATTGCGTCACTTATTTAGGCTTCAAACTGGATCCTAATTTGAGATGGCTTCCACATTTCCGTTTCATTCTCTTGGCTGCGGGGCAAATTTCCTATGCTGTATTACTGGACCATCCTGGGGCTCTCATCCCTCTTCATTACTTCTCATTTTTAAAACCGTTATCCACGTTAAAATTTAATACGGCTCTTTTTTATTTTCTTCAGCTTCCTATACCCATAGGAAAAAACTAAATTCCTCTTTATCCACATGCTTACGCAGTATTCTTAAGTCTACCCCGAGCCTTAGTATTTTTGTTGAGTGCTCCTCTCCCCCCCTCAAAATCCACTGTCGCCGCTTTCTTGCTAATAAATTTCTCCAAAAATCTCTCTCTACCTCTAACCATTTATATATCTATCTACTTCTTATACTCTGAATTAAGTAATTGTTTACACTACATGCCTAAATCGCTGCCCATTTTGGTCTCAGTATGCTCTTCTCTGTCCCCCATGGTTTGTCACATTTACAAGTCACACTCCAGATTACCTTTATTTGATTGTCCTCTATTTACCCTTACACTAGCTCTCATAGTGTATACTTCAATGTGTTTCCTCGTGTTCCCTCCTTCAATCCTACTTTCTCTTCCTGCAACTTCCATTAATAATCTCTAAAGGTTATATCTCATATAATTTTCGGACTAAATGCTTGATATTCAGAGATCATTCTGTATCAACTAACTCGGATGGTTGCTCTTTCCTGAACTTAATATTTCATACTCAGCTGTACTCCACCCTTCTTCTTTTACCTCTGAATGTCTTACCATCGTTAATGATCTCATTTTTATATCTTCACCATCAATTAATGAATTTGCTATTCTTCTGATTCCCTATTTTGCTTACTTGCCTTCACTTCTAATCCATTTAGCCTTACATTCTTAGTAATAGAACACTTATTTTATCAATTCGATCTCAGAATAAATCTATTTTATTTCACTGGGTGCCGAGTCACGCCGGTATATTATGTAACAAAACTGCTGATCACCTTGCTACTTCTTTACTCCTTCCAGCCATAACATTCCCGTTTCTGACTTTCTCTGCCTCTTTTGGCTGACAGTTCTTCAACCCTGGCGAAAAAGTTGGGCTGCAATAAAATAGAAAACTGCATGTTGGTATCGTTCAATATCTCCTTCCATTATTCATTTTCCATGATTTCATAACCTGGACTTATTCCTAAATATTATTTCTCAGAACTCAAGACTTAGGTAAGGTATTAATTTATTTATTATTAAGATAATTTTCTTCCCTACCATGCATTCCATCTTTTCTTTGTATTCCCTACATAAAAGTGATGGTCTATGTGATTTTCCCCAACTTCTCTTTAATTGTCCTGCCCCAATTAACAGCAGAAATATATATCTAACTTCTTGGCCACCTACAATATTAATCCCCCTACTTTAGCTAATATTCTTAATTCCATTTTTCCATTATAATTATTTTTTAGTATACTAACAATTATTTTCACATTTGTTGTACCATTATAACATAGTACTGTTACTGTTATACTTCTAATTTACTTATTTTTTCATTGTTTATAATTTTTGATCTAATTATTATTTTAATAAAGGCTATTAAAAAAACCCAGCACAGTGGGGACGTGGCATAGTTGGGTCCAGTATAGATGACTAAAATCACTGTCATAAAAAACGCTTTGATACAAATCTGTAGATAACGTTTAATTTTAAAAAATAAATGGCTTATTCCAAAAGCTACATGATCTCCTATTTCTTTATTTATATTCTGATTACAATTTTTATGATTTATAAGTATAATATATGAATATATATATATATAAATAATATATAAATATAAATAGTATTTATCTTAAAAAAATATAATGAACCATACATTTTTCAAAAAGTTATAGCTTTATAAAGTTAAAAATATAAAAAAGAATTTTTTTACAAAAATTGTATTTTTTTTATTAACTTTGATGTCTGTGTTCATCATAAAGACAAAATAAAGTATTTTTTTTTTAATATTAAAGTATATTACATAAGCTTTACTTTAAGATATATATATTATATATATTATATATATATATAAGTGTCAGAGTTTCCAGAACACTTTATAAAATTAAGTTGAAAAAGTTCTACTTTCTATTTGCATTATTTAGTTTTGAACCCCCCCTGCATATAGGTAAATGGTCCAATTTTAAAAAAAGTATGTCGAATGAAAGATGTGTATAAATGCTACTTTTCATTAAAAATTGTATTGATCCATACATTTTTTAAAAAGTTATATATATATAAAGTTATGTAAAATATAAAATCGAGAATTTTCACACAAAAATAGCATTCAGTAGCCACTTTTACCATGAAGACAAAATAAAGTCCAAAATTTTTTTTTTTCCATTATAAAGAATATTACATTAGCTTTAATTTAAGATATATATAAAAGTGTCAGAGTTTCAGTCACACTTTCAAAAATTAAGTTAGAAAAGTTATTTTTTGTGAAGAAGTGGTCATTTTGAATCCTCCTGTAGGCATGTAAAGGGTTAGATTTATAAAAAAATATATCAAATGATAGGTATAGACATCATGCATTTATAAAAAAAAATTATATTGATTTGGTCTTTTTTTATAAAGTTATGGCAGTTTTAAGTAAAAAAAATTGACAAAATTTCGAAAATTAGCGATTTTTAAATTTGTAATTCTTTTGGAGATTTCACCCATTTACGGTAAACGAGGGAAATATTTTCAATTTTTGAGAGTAATTTCTTCGACTAGATACAATTTATGATCTTTTGACATATCGTTGAAAGAAATTGGTTCGGTGAGAGATGAGAAAAAATAGTAATGTAAAAAAAAAAACTCATCATAGTAAAATTAATACCTGCTCAGCTTTGCATTGAAGCAAAAAAAAAAAAAAAATAATCCTACATTAATTTAAAGCAAATTCAACTTACATAAAGATTAAAATAGAAAAAATATTTAAAATCTTAATTTCTATCAGTCTAGATCTAAAATAATACTTCAACTCCACTTTTTTGATATGCTACGGTACTTTATTTTTATTTATTGTAGAAACAAAAACATTTAATCTGTAAGATTACTAATATAGTTTCAATATTTGTTTGACTTTAAACTTAGATTTTATAACTCTATTATTTTGTATTTAATTACAATATTACAATCAGCACTAAGTAAAATTATTATTATTATTATTCAACAGATAATTATGAAGTTTGCGGTTTGCATAATAGCATTTACAATAGCGGTGGAATAGAAGTTTCAATTCCAGATGATTGTAGATCATTAGATAGGAGATTAGGATTAACATTTTTTAAATATCTACATCCTGTTAATTTTTCACAACCAGATTTTGTATGTATAAGTTTATTTATTACTTCATTGTTTTAGTTTATCCATAATGGACGGATTAATTAAATAATGATGGAATTAAAAATATTATTGAAAAATAAAAAATATATATTATTATTATATTTAAATTTTAGGTATCTATTATCAATGTAAGTGTAATTGATATTTCATCATATTTACCAATGTCACGTACTGAATTGTCAATTGGTGGTACAATGGTTGTTAGACTATCTGGATTTTTGCGATTTCCACAAGTTTGGGATAATCATAAAGATCAGTTACAATTATGTTCACGATTTACTACCACTAATCTTATTATGACATCTCCCTATATGTACCAACCAGTGAGTAAAAATTGAATTTCAATACTAAAATAAATTTTAAAAAAATAGTTTTTTCATTTTTTTTTTTTTTTAAGAAGTTTATTTTATTTAAGTTATAGCTTTGATCTATTTTCTTAAAAATAAGCAAAACAAAAAAATTACTATTGGACTGTTTATTTATTAGTTTAATTTATATTTTATAATGTGATTAGAAGTTAAAAAAACGTTTTTTTCACATGTTTCCCTAGTCCCTCTTTATAACAATTTTGTACTATCTTTTTTTCTAATAATAAGTACTCCCCATTTGAATGAATTTGTATGATGTATATTTACTAGATATAATAATTTTTCTTATGGGGGGCTGAAGAAACATTTCTCCAGCCTCAAATTTTCTCCGTTTTTAAAAAATATAGTTTATTTTATAATTAATAGCAAAAAAAAAAAAAAAATTAATTAAATATAATAATATAATATGATAAGATTAAACAAATTTTTCACTGCATTTGCATGAATAAACACCAACAATATCGTACAAAAAGTTCCTTAATATGTATCTTATACAGTCTTAAGTCTAATTTTAAGACTATAGTAATAAGAGGTTTCTTTCTACACAGGAAATAGTTGGTAGAAAATATTACCTTACCTTAATATACCTTGATACTAAAACAATTAACAGATAATTAATAAATACTGCTTATGAGCTGTAACTCTACAAATTCAAAGGTGAATCGTTTATAATTTTGGTTATGTCTATTCATCTATCATTTTTCTATCACGAATTTTGAGCTTTCCATTAAAAAACTTATTTTAGAAACTAGATTAAACATTAAACTAAAACATTATAAACTAAATTAATATAATTCGGTAGGAGGTGTGCACAATGGACCTACAGGTCTGAGTGCATGGGTAGTTTTTCTCTACCTCTCTAACAACTAAAACTAAAACTACCCTAATTGTTATATTTGTAAAATTTACTTCATTTTAACATTAAAAAAATTATTATATTTCATTAATTATTCTTTATTATTCAATTAATTATAAAATAAACTATAGTGTTAAAAATTGCGGAGACTGAAAAAATGTTTCTACAGTCTCCATTAGAATAATTATGTTATCTAGCAAACAAACATCATACAAATAGTAATTTTCAGCATACAAATTCATAAAATTAGAGTACTAATTATTGAAAAATAAATTACCCTCAAAAATTAAAAAAAATTTTCCTCGTTCCCCGTATATAGAGAAAATCTCCTAAAATATTACAATTTTTAAATCTGTATATTTTTACATTTTTTTTACTTTTCTCTAAAAATTGCCATAACTTTTTAAAAAATGAACAAATCTAAATAATTCTTTTTCATAGAAATATCTCAGATATTTTCCTTTCGTTTAATATACATTTTTTCCTTGCCCACAAGGAAGAGGATTCAAAATAGAAATTTTTCCACAAACGTCAACTTTTTCAACTTAACTTTTAAAAATGTTCCGGAAATACTGGGTCCTTTAAACATATGTTAAATTAAAGCTTATGTTACGTAATATAAATTAAAAAAAAAAAATTGTCCCAACTACTTGCCTTTTATATGTAATCAAAAAAATATTATTTTGAGGTGAAAAAAGATTTTGTTTGGAAAAAAACATCACTAAATGTGATATTAATGGTTAGCTGTATATCAAAATAAATATATTTATTACTTATTTAGTTAAAAAAAATTATTTATTCTTTTAAATTCAATTGTTAGGAAATCAATATAACATCAAAAAATGAAGATTGGCAATGTTTACAACTATCATCTTGGTCTACTGAAGATCAACCTTTTCATGCTCCAGAAAGATATCTTTTAGATTTATCATGTACTAAAAATATATCAATTACTCAAAATGTTGGTGCTGCTCTTGTAGAGTTACAACATAATAGGGGACATAATAATTCCAAGGTTAAAATAATAATATTAAACATTATCATTATTATAACTATACAGTTTATATTTATTACTGTAATATATTATTATGTAGCCATTTACTATGGAATACCTTGAGCCTTATCATAGTAGAGATAGTTCAACTTGTGCTGGATATCACAGTTGCTTAATTTGTGTTAGTGATGCTAATTGTGCTTGGTGTGATGTGAAGTCAATATGCACTACTAGAAACCAAACAGACTCAGAATTCTGTCATGATGACAATGATGTATCTGAATGGAAATACTTAGTAATATCTCCACAAATGTGCTCTAATTGTTCTAATTATGTTGATTGTATTGATTGTGTTGAAAATGATTATTGTGAATGGTGGAGCCAAGAAGCTAAATGTGAAAGACGTGGAAGGTAATTTTAAATTTGATTATTATAGTTTATAATGAAATTATTTTCAAATGTTAATTGTATTTCTTATCAAATAAATCATACATTTGAAAATTAGGTTATCAGATGGAGTAATTTTTGTAGATTTATGTCCTAGTCCATGTTCTGATAGATACTCATGTTTTGATTGCCTAGATAGTGGTCGATGTGTTTGGTGTCGTGCTACTAATGTAACTATATTTACATTACTAAATTTTTCATAATCAATCATTATCTTTTAATATATTTTAGGAATGTTTTCATTTTTCTGAGTATACATCAGAATATCAATTTGGTCGATGTAGAGAATGGATAGATCGTAATGTACACTATTATGGTTTGGGACAAATTCAAGTTGATAATGCTATATCTACTTGTACATCTTGTGAAAAAAATACCAATTGTTCTAATTGCTTAAAAACCCTTGGTTGTGGTTGGTGTTATGATAGCAATAATCCAATCCAGGGAATTTGTACAGAAGGTGATTTTAGCAGTCCATTTATAGGTACATTTATTTAATTAATAATTTTTTTAATATTTGGTAGTGACATCTTTATAAAAAATAGTAAAATGTCATCTAACTTTTTTTATTTTTAGGGACATGTTCATATGTAATGAGTAATAGTACTTATGAGGAAGACAGTAGTTGGGCATATGCACAATGTCCAGATGTTGATGAATGTGGACTAGGTTTGCATGACTGTCATAAAGAAGCAAAGTGTACTAATACTCAAGGATCTTATAGTTGTCAATGTAAAAGAGGTTTTATTGGAGATGGAAAACATTCATGCACTAGAACGTTAGTATTGTTTATTCTTAATAGCAAAAGGTCATTAATTATTTATATATATATTTAATTTTTAGGTGTTATCATAAATGTGTAAATGGCTATTGTATTGGTGCTCCTGATTATACATGTAAGTGTGATCTTGGGTGGACAGGACCAGATTGTGCGATTAATTGTGGATGTAATAATCATTCAACTTGCAATGAAAAACTAGGAATTTGTGATCAGTGCCAAGATTGGACTACTGGATTGTTTTGTGAATTTTGCAAGTATGATACTATATTTAAATTTATTTACAATTTATTCTAGTTTTTTAAATATCAATTTTTTATTTTTAAGAGCTGGGAGCTACGGCAATGCAACGTCAATTGAAGGATGTCGTAAATGTGATTGTAATGGACATGGAGATGAGCAACTTGGTATTTGTGACTCTTCAACTGGAAAATGTTATTGTAAACATTTTACTGAAGGAAATAATTGCCATCATTGCAAAAAAGGATTTTTCGGAGATCCTAAGTAATTAACTAAAAATAATTACTTGAAATTTTCATAGATGATAAAATTAGTTTTATAATATTAGATAAATTAAAAAATATTTATTACATAATATAATATATAAAAAATAAAGTCTAAATTTACAGTTTTTATATTTTTCTACTAACAAATATTTCAGAAATGGAAATGTTTGCTATCATCAATGTATGGCTCGAGGTATTTTGACTGGTATGGGTCCTCAAGGATTTGGATCTAAGTCTGTAGAAGTTAGTGCGTGGGAAACACGATTAGAAGGTCCACCATCAAAAGAATGTCTATGGATTATTGATCCTGAAAATATGAAAAATAATTCAACTGCTATGTAATTAATTATATTAGTTCAATAATTATCTATCTAGAATGTTACTTTTAGTACATCATAAATCAATATTTTCTTGTTTGTATTTCAGAGGTTCATATGTTATTCAATTAACAATAGATAAAGATATTAATGTTCCTTGTAATATGAATAGTGTTTATGTTTATGATGGACTACCAAATTTTGTTTCTATATCGAGAACTCACCCAGCTCATTCTCTTGGTGTATTTTGTACAAGAGATTCTCAATATCCCTTAACTATCGAAGCCATAACTGGTAAATAATTATAATAAATCTTGTTCAAATAAAGATAAGATAATAATATATTGTACAATAGAGATTTATTTTGGTATTTATGTACAATTTTCTAGGTGTAATGACAGTTTATTATAAACAGTCAGAGTCCTTTGAAGGATTCAATGCCACTTACATAGTGTTTAGTTGTCCTGATAACTGCCCATCAAATCGTGTATGTCACAATAATCATTGTGTATGTCAAGAAGGAAGTACTGGGGTTTTTTGTCAAGATTTAATATGTCCTAATAATTGTAATCACAATAAAGGTCATGGTGTTTGTGATCACGTAAGATATTTATTCATTTTCAAATTTTAATAAAATAACTATTTCAGTGTAGAATCCAGGGGGCAGGGAGTATAACCATATAAAACAATATAGGTTAAAATGAAATTCAACAACACATCAGCGAACAAAATTATAGGTGAAACTAAGTATAGAATATTTCTTAATATCAGTATATTATAGAATACTATAAGACATAACTATAGGGAATATTTAAATTTCAGTATCTATTTAAATACCTAGAGATACATAGAAATGATTACTATAATTTTTATAAAAATTATTTGTTATGAAGAAAATGTAAAAAAAAAATAGTGATTTTAAAGAAACTTAGAATTTTTTTCCAATTCAAAAATACAGGTTGAGTTTAAAAATTATCAAACTTAAAATTTGTAATTTTTTAATGATTTTACCCATTTACGAGGATCAAGGAAAATGTTTTTAATTATCAAAGGTAATTTCTTCGACTAGATACAATTTGTAGTTTTTTGATGTATTGTTGAAAGAAATAGGTTTGGTGAAAGCTAAGAAAAAGTGGTAACAGACACAAAAAATAAAAATAAACATATTATGGTAAAATGAATATCTTCTCAGCTTTGCATCAAAGCTACAAAATTGATATTGGCATCTAAAAATGCTTGCCCCATTTAAAAAAATTTTATATTCAACCCTGAATAATTAGTTAAATTCATTTAGGAGTATGGACGATGCATCTGTGAAAACAATTATGAAGGAGAAGATTGTTCTATATCTGTACCAATTTCTAGCCATTTGCGACAACCTCTTATTTTTACAGATTTATTTAATTCTGCTCATGTATCAGATAGTTTAGACCATTTACGTCAAACATTACCTAGATTTGGTCATTCAGTTGTAGCAACCAGGCGAGGTCAGTTATGGCTATTTGGAGGATATTCATTATCACATGGTCCTCTTAATGATATTAGATTGTTTGATTCAAAAAATAATTCATGGATGCAGGTAATTTTAATGATAAGATATTATTGTAAATATTTCTTTTAGTTTCTTGATTTAATATATGAGACGTAAACACTGTTATTTTTTATTATATGTTTTAATGTAATAATATTTTATTTTAGGTCACAGTTGATGGTACCAATGATGCTCATATGCCACATGGTAGATATTTTCATGCTGCAGAAATTGTGCACTCAAGAAGAGAGATATTTGTTTTTGGTGGCTTGACACAAATTCAAACTCAATTTGGTAGAACAATAAAATATTCAATGAAAGTTTTATCAGATTTTTGGAAATTTAGTCTAAAAGATCAACGATGGATTAAAATACAAGTAAAATACAATCTTCTTATTTAAAAAAAATTTCAAAAGGTTTTTGTGTATTTTGTATAAATATAACTATAATATAAATATAGTTTTGACAAAAATTATGATGTAAAGTATTAAAATATTACTGGAAAATAAAAAAATTAATTAAAATAAATTATGTAATTCACTAAACAAATATTATAACAAAAACCCATAAATACCATTATTTTTTGTTATTATAAAAGTTTATAAAATTATTTTAGACCAATAATGATCCACCTCCACTTGCTGGCCATACTTTGACTTTTAGATCTGTTGGAGAAAGAGAAAGTCTTATATTAATTGGTGGGTTCAGTCCAGATAATGGCTTCTTAGATTGTGTTTGGGAATATGATCTTCAAGTTGAGATTTGGATACAATTTAAAATAAATGGTTATGGACCAGCTGGTATTAAACATTTATTTTAATAGTAGAAAATGTTACTTTTTTTAAATTTTTGTTGCATAAATATATTTTGAATTTATGTTTAATGTTAATATATTTTATTTTTTCAATTTAATAAATATCTCTTTTATCTGAAAATTGGTTTCTTCTTACAAACCATGTTTTTATATTATATTATATAATTATTTAAATAATTTACATAACATAAAGTTGACAGTTTACTGCATATTAATATTTTACAATTTATTTTCAATTATTTATTTATTTTTTTAATGCCATTTGCTTTTTAGAATTTCTTTTCTTTTTTTTTATAAAAAAAAAAAAACAATTCTAATTACCAAACTTTTAAATTTGGTTAGGAATTTATGGACATAGTACCGTGTACCATGGACCAACAGATAGCCTATATGTTTTTGGAGGATATATCTACTCTGTTAATCAAACTATAATGACCGATAAATTATTTATATTTAACTATGAAAAACAGATATGGTCAGTATTACCCATATTTAAGGATTACAATCCTCCAAAAAATAGTTTGGTAAGTAGGTAATCAAGCATAACTTTATAAATCGTAATGTGAATTTATTATTTTAGCCTAGAGGACGGTTTTTACATTCAGCTGTAACTACAGATGAGTACATGTTTGTTTTTGGTGGTCGAACAGACCCTCCTAGTACAAACGATACTTTAATTGCATATTCATATTCTTGTAATCAATGGATACGTCTACTTACACAGGGTATTAATTTTAATTAACTTAATTTAAATTGCAAGTTTTTTTTAAAAAAATCAAAAGTTCTTTTTTAATATTTTCTTTACATTTTTTTAGATATATATATTATTGGCTTACCTCCACCTCTGACTCATGCTCATGCTATGACATTGGATATTGACACTAATGCAATGTACATTCTTGGAGGGTTTGCTGGTGATATTCAATCGCGTGTAACTCGTATACAATTACCTTATGATTTATGCAATCTATGGTCTGGAAAGCGTGATAAGTGCAGGTAATTGAAATACAATTTTAAAAGTATGTTATGCATTCGCATAAAATCCTTTGGTTGTAGGTCACTTGTTGGGTGTTCATTTTGTCAAGTGATTGGAACCAATGTAAGTTATTGTTTTACTCATCTTGGTCCAGGATACAATCCATGTGTTTCAACCAATGGCACTTCACGAACTAACAATGGAGTTTCTTGTAATGCTAATTGGATTTCAAGTCGTTCATGTGAACAGTATACTTCATGTACAGACTGTTTAGCTGTTTGGCCAAATAATTACCTAGAAAATCCTAATGTTTGTATTGATTTAATAATTTATTTAAATAAGAAGACTTAAGTTATTTCAACTATGAAGTAAGACCCATGTATGGATGTTCTAATGGGAGGATAGAAACTCCCTATAATGAAAATAGTTATATAATGAATATATATATTTTCTTTCTTGAAGGTAATAGTGAAAAAGAATGTCATGCATATACCCCAAGGATAAACCTAGAGAATATTTAGAAATAATAGCATAGATAAGTATAGACTCAAATCTGATAGTAATTGAAATCACTACCATAAAACATTGATACAATTTTGTTTATAGAAAGTTTAATTATTCTAAACTTTGTTAGTTTATCATAATTTTAGTATAAGGTGACATTATAATTTAAGCCAAATGCCATTGGTAACGAGAACATATTTTTTTTAAACATTTATGTTTAACAACACTTAAATGTAATTTAATTTTTTTTGGATAAGAAGCTTTTTTTAAAAATGACAGGGTACCAAATCTCTTTGCCCCTTTCTTAGTTGTTTAGGCTAAAGTATAAGTACTAATAATTGAAGTAAAAAATGATAACAATACAAAAAAAACTGCAAATTTTTGCACAAATTTGTATTTCTTTCTTAAACTTTAATGTCCATTTACACCATGAAGACAAGTCGTGACAAGTTTTTTTTTTTTAACTCTCAGTTTATAATATAAATTTTAATTTTACATATGTTTAAAAGACCCAGTATTTCCGAAACTTTTTGGTTGGGTTTGGTCCATTAACCATTACGATAAATGGCGACAGATACAAAAAAAATTAATAAATTAATAAATACTTCATAGTAAAATTAATTCTTTTTATTTTTGCATATAATCTATAAAAGAAACACAAATAATGTTATATACTTATTGGTATTTGTTTTTAGGTTTGTACGTGGTGTGCTAATTGTGGTATAAAAGGACAGTGTGTAAAAGATCCTTCTAGCTGTGACAACCAATGTAGAATTATAACTAAAGTTGAAATGTGTCCAAATATTCAATGCATGGCAACAGATTGTGAAAAATGTTATGAGCAAGGCAATTGTTTATGGACTCGGTGAGTAAAACCTTCAATACATATCATAATGTTCAAATAAAAAATTCTAAAGAAAAAATCACAAGTGTTGTAGATAAAAATACAGGTGAATACAATTGGTCTAGTATTCCAGGGTTATGAGAACTTTTTAGCTTCGATGCGAAGCTGAGAAGGTATTAATTTTACTATGATGTGTTTTTTTATTTTTTTTTTTTTTTGTGTCTGTGAACGCTCAATCTCAGTTCTCGCTGGACCGATTTTGATGAACAATATGTCAAAAGATCACAAATCGTATCTAGTCGAAGACATTACCCTCAAAAATTGAAAAAAATTCCCTCGTTCCCCGTAAACGGGGGAAATCCCCCAAAAAATTACAAATTTAAAAATCGCTAATTTTCGATATTTTTTCAATTTTTTTTACTTAAAATTGCCATAACTTTTT